TGTACTATTGTACTGTCTGTTATGTGGCTGGGCCTCATTGGATAACACCATAAATAAACAATTCATCCCAACAAGCTAAAGCATTCTCACAGATTTCAACTTCCAAATACCTGAAATTTAAAGACTTTTCTTTACCATAGACCCTATCACTAACCACTTCCCACCAGGCACTGCTCTAGCCACCCCACATAATTTGTTTGCCCCCTCACACCCTCCTCTCCCTTCTCAGTAAATGACCAGTACCCAGGGTCCTCTAAAATCACACCCTAGGAACCAAACATCGCTAAATAGCAGCTAAACATGTGGCTGAAGTGAATAGGGAAAAAACAATAAGAAACAAAATGGGGGGTTAAAATCTTTCAATTGGTAATAGAGAGAATGACTTTTAGTGTCATTATCATGGACACTCTTTACTGTAATGATTTGATTTAGCCCCCTCCTTCCAATAAGCACCCCCTTTTAAATAACTGCCCCCCCACCCCTTCAAATGTGTTTTTGTTAATAAGCACCCCGATTACAATAAGCACCCCCATTCTAATCGATCATTTCAACAGCGTCACCAAATTGGACATCTAAGATGTTGCACCAGAAAGCTTGTTTATTGATGTGAGTGACACTGACGGTATTGACGTCAAAAAGATTAACTCATGAAATTTCACCATACAGTTGTTACCGTTATTTTCACACAACAAGGATCCTTTTGAGGAAATCAACGAACTGGACATCGAAGGTACCACACACAACCAGAAACTTTAGGCGCACGTGCAACACACTTTTTTCTTCATTTCTTTCCCGTTTTTGCACGACTACAAGATGAAAATGCCTAATTTCGCATTTTATGGAGGACGTAAATAAGCAACGACGAAATTTTATTTCTCTTTCTGAGCTTGAATATGGTCCCTTGAAATTCAGCTTTAGGAGGGTTCGCCTACAATTGACAAAGTAAGTGGGTAGGAATAATCGCTATAAAGACTGAAAAAAATAAACATCAAACCAGAAATTGCACTCTTCAAACTGTAAATTATAAATGATCCTGATAGAATATTCAGTGTGTTAAGGATTTCCCTGCTCTACTGTTAGTTCTATACAAGAGAGGAAGGGCGATTCCTTTTCAATTTCGGTTTCGCTGACACAGCTTTCGCAGAAATCTCGCTGTAGTCGCTTTCGTCGACAAAAGGAATAGCAAAATCGCTCTCCACATCTTCCCCCATTTTGTTCTGCATCATTTCGTGAAGGACGCGTGGCTCTCAGCGTGGGTCAACCACGCGGAACACATTCACGCTATGTGATTGGCTGTTGTCTAATCCCCCTTGAGATCTGTGGTGTTAAAAATAACTCGAGACGAATTACCTATGGAATAGGGTGTATATGTGGGATGCCCTCTCTGTCCCCTTTATAGACTCTTGACACTGTCAAAGCTATCAGCGTAGGTAGATTAAAATTCTCTCACATTAAATGAACATTCACCGTACATTTGTTACTGTTACAGTTTCTGTTATTGTTCCTTTTTTAATAAATATTAAAGTTTTGTTTTGGACATTCGGTTGTTTCTCAAAAAATAAATAAGCGCCCTGTCCCGAATAAGCGCCCAGTCTCGAACAAGCGCCCTTCCTCGAGGTACCAAAAGTAAATAAGCACCCCGGGCGCTGAATCGAATCAATGCTATACTGAAAAGTTTGTACAGCCTCTCCAGAAAACGTGAATGTTAGTATATTTTAGGTTCAAGCTTCCAAAGAAACAACAAAACAACACAGTGCAGACTTACTCATCAGTAATTGCTACAGATGTTAAGTTATCTGAACGAGAGTATGGCCCTATAAAAGCAGGGTACATCGATGTGTCTACAATCATTGAAACCTCGCGGCAAGTCAAAACCTACCAATGTTTTTCCGGAATTTTTCTACATCGGTCCTGCCTTCTGCATCTCTCCGACCCATCAGACTAAACTGAAGAAAATAATTACTTCACCTCCAGAGCAAAGATTAGCATAACAACCAATGTTCCTGTTTGTGTCACCTGGATCATGGAGTGTCGAATGAAGTGGCATGACGTGTCAGCCTAGTGCCCAGACCTCTATACCGGGCCTTTATCCCCCGTGGTTCCGTGCATTCCGCAGACCCGATGTCACAGCGTTTTGAGCATCCCGATTCCCAAATCCCGAGTCCCTCAGATGGGAGCGTGGAACAGGTTACTTACCCCCTTGCGAGGGAATATGTGGGGCAGGGGCGCCTGTTGATGCGGGACTATAAATGTCAACATGTTACGAGGTATTTGAGCGCATTTATATATACAACGTCATTTTCCACGGTATTCAGGAGAGAGGGGCCTTTTATGAACGGTCGCCGGAAATGTGAGCGGGTCGCCTACGATGCTATCTTGGATAGGTACGCGGTACTGTATATTTAACGGCAGTTTCGTCTACTTATGATCTACATAAAAAGGTTAGAGTGAAAGCTGCTTTCATTTCTGAGTTTCAGAAGGAGACAATAACTCTGTTGAAATACTCTCAGAAAATACCAGTCACAGTACCTGTTATCGTCTTGTTTAAAAATTAGTCGATTACCATGGGGTCGGGAAACCACGGCCAGTAGAAGAGAATGTGTAGTTGGTGCGTTTGTCAAAAATCATGGTACGCTGGCCTTGTTAAATTCATAAAATCACAAAATCACGTGCAATCGTAACACCTTCTTTGTCACACAAAGCCGATTCTAATCTATATTGTTTACGGTCCCTCATTTTCATTCCATAAGATCGTCGCGATGAAGTGCTTACTCGTGAGCGTCGGGCTGCCTCGCTTCATCGCGACGGCGGCGTCACTCGGGGAAAGGTTTGAAGAAGGAGAGGAATTCGGCCATCTGTGACTCAACGCGATACACGTCACCAGTTAGTAGTTAGCTAAGTTACATGGAAGCTTTGAATGTGGCTGAATATCCGCCAAGCTTTTGTTGCAGAGCAATTATCCCCCAATGACCTAAGGCCTAAGGCCACAAATAAGAGAGGTAAGAGAGCCGTAGTCATCTTAGACAACATCTACAGAAAGTAAATTTAAATTTTGCTCAGTCCGACACATATAAAGCTTGAGTCTTAAAGCATAATTAATTTTGCGACGCCCTTTTGAGGTTTACTCCCTCTTGGCCCTCTACGCGGAACCACTTCAAAATTGTACTTACGCCCTATCCACACTAATGCGTTTTCAATACTGTACGGTTTCGATCGATGCGCGTCCACACTAGAGTTGTTTTGATGTGTTTTCGAGTGTCCACACTAAACCGTTGGAAAACGATAGAATTGCACGTTGTGACGTCAGTTGCACTCTTTGCGCATGTTCCAAACGCACGCAGCTGGGATATTTTCGGTCATCGTTTTCTTTTTGATGTGTTTTCAACTGTCCACAATAATACGATATGTATGCGTTTTCGTTTTGATCCACTTTCAAAAGCGTTTTTAAATCGATGCGTGTTCGATGAAAACGGTCAGCGTCAGTTAGTGTGAACGGAAGGCCTAAACGCCTTGAAATATATCCCTCCTTCAAACGAAAACACATTCTGTAAGTCTGGACATGACGATTTTAGTAGATACGAGAATGCTGAATTTCAAACAATAAAAAGTTTGCCCTTTGATAAAAAAAGAACTGCGTTTATACAAGGTATCATTTGTTGGCTCGATTTGCAAAAAACTGCATCCTCGGTAAATATTAGCCGATCTGCCTGATAAGTAGACCGATTTTCATTTTGCATGGGCGGATGTATATTAGAGGCTGTTTATTTCGGGCACAGATGTCTCAGGGTTCAGAGTCCAAAAAGAATTGTCATAGGTGCTGCAAGTGTTCCAAACCCCCTTATTGAATTTTCTGCATTCGCCCCTGTCTTGGCGTTCCCATCGCGCTTCCTTTTGGATAGAGGTACCAGCCCAGACAGCAATGAATCGCAGGGTGTAAATTGGCTGTTTAAATCACACCGACAAGTATCGCCCCGTGTGGTAACCGTACCTTTTATTTACGAAATAACTTTGTGATAACAGATACTATTATTATAAGCTTTATTTTGGTTTGTTTGTTTGTTTTTTAATTCTTAAAGAACGCGAAACTTAAAAATTTCCTGAGGTACAAGATTCGTTCAGTACGCCGTTTAATATGCGCATACAGACAAATATAGCCCCAGTTTCATCATTTTTTTTTTCTATCAGACTTTGAATCCCCCGATCTGAAGTAAGAGCCCGAGCTTTGCCACCCAAAAAGTTTTATTGTTTACGTAGAAATGGTTCCACCTCGATACTTGTGGCTATGCAAGTTTTCCTCCTCCAGCGAACCTAGCTGTAGATATGGGTGCCACCGTTGGAAAGTTGGATGATGACACAATCCTTGATACAGCTATTGTACACACTCAAATATCGCGATATTATACAAATACACCGAAAAATACAACTGCAGTACTATGAAAGGTACAAACTTCCCCTCCCGGCCCGTGCGAGGGTCCACAATGATCTTCTTATGAGAAATGTTTTGTAAGAATGATCTAGAATATCGTCACGGTTATAGGATGAATATTATTGACAGGGACAGTGAAGTTGAATAAAAATAAAAATATGTTTGACAGAGCACCCCCCCCCCCCCAGGCAACATAGGCTTATAGAGTGTTTTCACATGACGTCACGGCGGCCATATTGGTGGCCCAAAACATTGAAACGGCGGCCATGTTGGTGTCGCAAACCAATCTTGTGGGAGTTGAACTCCTTTCTTAAGCAAACGCTTTGTTTTGTTCCAAGAAATTTGCATAGATGCTGGCCACGTGAGTGAAAACACTCTATACACAAGATTCAGAAAAGTTTTCATGGCTTAAATCGGTAAAAGCCATCTTTATAGGTGTACCCCTAAACAACGTCATTTGTATCTGCACTGGTTTGTTTGCGTTACGGGTCTCGGTATCAGGATCTTCTCCATTCGTATAAGTGTACGAGGCAATAGCACTCGCCCTGTCTATTTCGAATTCTGACGGTATGCAACACCGCATTTCTGCATCGGTGCATTGAATGAACCTGAATTTTTTAGCAACGAACGAGCGAACGTATTGCGAAAATTTCTGATTGCGCGCAATAAAAATCACTGGATAACATACTGATCTAAGAGACATGGCAACCTTAGCGAAGCTGTGTAATGTGAGGGAATAATAACTTGAGCTTTCCTCTCTAAATATGTACAGAATCAAGCTTGGAAATAAGCAAAGGAAATACACCGATATTATTATGATCGTCGTGTAAGCGGATCTAGAATAAGAGTCCACAGGAGATGGGGGACTCTCTAGCATGTGAACGCGTACACGCTTCCGTAAAGTGCTTCGAAAAATTTGAGCAGTTGCATAAAAGATTATGCAGCACGGTATGAAAAAAGAAAGTGTCCAGAGGACTATTCGTAACGCTATTATGGGCATATTGTAATGCTCTCGCAAGGTGAGATACTTCTCGCAGTTTCCGAGTACCCAGGCTATAAATCGCTTCCCTGGTTTGTTAATCAGGATTAGATCCCAGGGTATTGAAGAGACTACAGCTTGACTCCATATGAAAATCACCACACGTTTCACTGTCTTTTTGGTGAACTTATGATGGCTCTTTTTCACTACAGCGAAGTAACGATCCACCGCGATGGCTGTTAGGCTTAACAAGGAAACGAAGAACAAACACATGTCCACTGTCCCAGCGAAGATGCACAAGTTCCCGCTCAGGACCTTGAGCCGAATGAGACTTGACCCATACACGAAAATTCCGTTGACAGCGAAGGAAAACTCCGCCAAAATGTGACTTATGACCAGCATGTTGGTTGGGGTTTGCATGCGATAATCTCGCCAGTAAGCCACGATAAGAATACCATTGCCAATCATTCCTAATATAAGTAATATCAGAACGATAATTCCTTGGCTGAGTATAGCAGATTTGTCATTTGCAATTTCGATCTTAAATACCATTTTGCTTTCCGCTTTCCAGTTCCCTTTTATCCATTAAATTGTCTCTTGTTCATCTTTTGCTTCTCATTACTTCCGTGGTTTCTCCGTCAAAGACTTCCTAAAGTTGTTAAAATGTGCTCTTCAGTTCTTTTCTACCTCTACGTGTATAACTGGCCTTTAAATGACTTATTTGGAATGAGTTTCGGCCCATTTCATATGCAGACGTTTTCCTTGCCGGAAGACTTAAGTGCCATATATTTTAAAATCTTGTTATTCGAAAGACTGGCGAAATATTGGGTCAGTAAATTTAACCCAAAATATATATTTGCCCTGCATGAGTAACTTGTGCGATATCCAATGGGTTTGTAGCTCTGATTTTCACGGGCAGACTCGATTTAACTCGTCTCTCAAGACTGCGGTTTTGGTGGTCTACTATTCTTGATCTCGAACTAGAGAACCTTATTGTCTTATTTTCTTTTTCGATTTCGTGAGCTCTGCAATCGGTGATGCAACAAATTTTAAATAGCTTATTCATCTTTGCTAAGACAATTGACTCAGCAAGTTAAGCCCTTCACCTGTAGTGTTAATACTATAATTACAAAAATACCCACTCGAAGAGGAAAACATATTTTTCTCTTTTAAGTGTAAAAGATGATCAATATATATTTGTTATTGACCAAGCGTGAGGTCAAGATGACTGGATATTGCCCAAGTCCTATTTTTGCGTTCTTATGGACTGACACGAAGAACGGGACCAATATACAGCCATCTTGACCGAAAAAGCTAGGTCAATAACGGGATTTGTTAGGTGGCCAAAAAGAGACCAACGCAGGAAATCCCGCGCGGTCCTAGATGAATTCATCGTGCCCGCTCGGGTAGTCAATCAGCACGGCACAGGATTCGCATCATCTTGCCTGCTTATAATAACAATTATTCCTCACAGCCCTATTGACTCAGAGGCCATGAGGACGAGAGAAATAATTGTTTTAGTAAAATCCTACTAGTTGGTCAAAAATATCGAAACCATTGTTTTGGTTTTCAAAGCCTGCTCTTTTCGCTACTAGTGGGCTATAACATATAGCCTAGTAGTAGCCCAACCAATAAGAACGTAGCATTGATAATAGACCACTAGTTGGATTTTACTAATAGTTAATACTAGCTGAAAAAGTAAACACCACAACAATTTTTTACATGCATATGTCGTTTGCTCAATCTTATTTTCATTTTATGTTAATTATTTTTTTGATCCTAATTCCTTTATGCAAAAATATATGCCTGATATGCCTCCGTGACAAAGGAGAGAACTTTTATTTGTACGAGGATACTAAAAGATGCAATCATGGTATACTGAAAACTGTGACAACCAGTTGGGGATGACACGCAAATACAAGTTCATTCCGCCAACACTCACCGGGCGATCACATTCAAAAAATATGACCTAACTCCTAGCCTTGGTTCAAACCATTCAAGCATAATCTGAGATGTCAGAGGGTAGAAGTCAGTCTCCATTCAATTCCTGGTTTGCATGTGACGTCACCAAAAATCAAACTAAGAAACTATCGATTCTTCTGAGTTTCTACTTTCACGAGGTATTACAACACCTAAACACCTTTATATAACAAATTTTTGGTTTGAAATGGTTCTTCGTTTTGCGAGAGAGGAGGCTTGAATTTCCAGGCTTTTGCATGGCGCGGCATTTAGCTGGCGGCCGGGAAAGCTATTATTTGGGTTAAAAACATTACTGATTTTGGGAGATTTTGCAATCTAAACCTTCTTTGTCTCAGAATAAATATTACTTTAATCTTTATGAGTTCCTCAAGCGAAAAATTTACGCATTAGTAAGAAAAATCGAAAACAGATGTTTCTGTTGCAGTATTCGGCGGCCATAAACATGGCGTTTCCATACAAAGCTTTATGAATTTAGGTAAACGTTTTTCCGAATATCTCGCATTTGAAATATTGCACAGACCTGATTCTTGGCAAGGCTTTTTGTATATTTATCTTCTTTCATTTCCCAGATTCTAGACCTTCTGTATTGAATGGTTTGCATTTCTATTTTTCATTGCGTGACAGTGCAAACCTAGCCTGAGATCATGCCCTCTCCCTATTATCCCTTTATGTCTCATAAAAATAAAAAAATAATGCCTGATCTCAGGTTAGTGCAAACCGAGAATAGCTACAAAGACTTTATTGAGCTATACATTTTTATAAAATAACTAAGATAGTACGCGCGCTCTGATTGGCCGAAAGGAGTGTTTGCATGAGAGTATGTAAACATGGTTGTGACGTGCGATGTTTTGCTTTTCGCGCGCTAATCACGCAAACACGAATTTGAAAAATTTTTAATGAGCAAAACTCGACAAGTTTACTTTATTTACCCATTCCTTCGTCGGCTGAAACTTGGAAAATCTTTACAAACAAGCTGTGTCAACTTTTTTTCGCTTAAGCTGACATTGTAATCGAGAAAAATTCGTATTTTGGAAAGCATCTTTTTTCAAACCAAAAACAGATTAAGCGTGCAAGACTTTGTGTACAAGACTTTGCGACTGGTAAGAATTTCTCTTTTAATCAATGCCATAACAAAGAGTTTTGCGTTTTTTCTCAGGAAAGATATTTAATAAAATCAATAGAAAACTATTTTCCGGTGTTTGCATAGCCTGATATAAACACTCGAGGGGTTGGGAGAATTCGAGACAGTTATGCAAACCCGAGACGAAGTCGAGGGTTTGCATAACTGTCGAGACTACAGGCTATGCAAACACGAAAAACGTTTTCTATTGCTTAAATATATTTGCAAGTCACCTAGTAACAGGAAAATAAGTGAAATTTAGTCTTAATCGATCGGGTCTCATACGTTACCAGCCCCAGGCTCCCATCCGTGTTTATGGACGGTCGAATGTAAACTTTAACGTAAACAGGGTTCCTCTCAGTTTTCAATTACGTCGTTTCCACTGACGTGCTTGAAGAGACAAGGAGGCAAAATCGACTGATATCACTGTAAGTTTTGAAAGAAGCAGGAATCAAAAATTCAAATTCGAACCTGTAACCGGGGCCGGCTGGCAGTTTATTGTTATGGCGTGAATGTATCAGAAATGGGGATAAGTCAGGTCAACATCGGGAAGAAAAAACCTTAAGTCTTTTAATTTCGGTTCAGTAAATATCTCAATAAAAGGAGAGTTCTAGGTGGCAACCCAAAGACTCAGCAACATAGCCGGTTGCTGCCGTCTTACTACCGGATGAAGAAAGAAAAATCGCTGATGATAACATACTTCAGAGAACATTTATTGAAATTTGGTAACAAAGAACAAAGTTCCACGTTATTTGTCACAACGGCTGTGGCTGTTCCGATCCGATTCAGCACGAAAGGACTTTTTCAAAAATAAATCCGAAAAATTATAAGGAAGATAGCCTGATGATCGAATAAGGCTGAGTTTTAAACATTCTAATTGCTAAATGTTGGGAGAGGTGGGACAGTGATGCGGCACATACTTCTATTTACAGAAATGGTTTTTCTTTTTATTTACATTCATCGTATCTAGCCTGACTTAAAAAGCGTAAAAATCAGTGCTTTGTCGTAGTACTTAAGCAAGGCCTAGCTCTTTGTAATTCAAATTCCTGAGTGATAATTTTCAAAATTTGATCTAAAATGCCTTACAATTGTGTGAAAGCAATTACGAAGCCAACGAAACACATTTTAAAAGCACTTCTTAAGCACACGCGCGCTACGACTAGTTCATTAACAGCCTGTTATAGGAAAGTTTCAATAAATATGCCTACGCATGCATGCAATTTGTTTGGGAAATAAACTTCTGGTTCACTTTTTTTTCTTTCCAATTCTCTCGCTTTACTTCTTTTTATCTTTTTGCTCGATTTTCGATTTAACCTTTGCACTCATGGTTAATATATTCACTAAATTGTTTCTCTGGGAAAATTTCTTCGCTAATAACAACACTGAATGGCAGTGAATCTCTCAACTGTCATTATTCACAAAAAATATGTTTGGTTTATACCTGTAAGATTCGTGGCCTAAGTTATGTTTATTAATGAATCAAAGGAGCGGACACATGTCTTATTTTTCAAGGCAGGATTTTCTCACTTTGTGGCGTATTTAAGAAGACTTAAATGTGTAATTCCTTGGATTTTACTGGCTTAAAAAAGATTGAAATACTTCCTTTTGTATTTTGCCTTCTGCCTGTCTTCTGTTGCCTAAAAAAGAAAACTAGGCAATTCAAACAACTTTTTTTTCATCTGCCTTTTCTTAAGAAAGCTACTAATCAAATTTTTGAAGTGCTTCAATTACTTTTGTGAAATTTCCATTATTGCTGATAAGGATGGCACGTATGATCAGATCTTACTGGCTTTGCATATTCTTTGTAGGCACCCGACAACGTTGTTTCGAGGCCACAACGCTCCTGTTTAATTGCTTAAGCGATGAAAATTCACAAGCCTAGGTTGCTAATCTGCAAAACTAAACACCATGTCGAAACAAAGGGAAGTCTTTAAAGATTCACCCAATAACATCAAAGCACGAAAAAACCCAGAGATTATTAAAAGGATTTTAACAAGACAGGTTTAATTTCATGATCCTTCAAGGAAAACCGCATTTTATTTCGCTAAAAGTGCGAGAGCATCACATAAAATCCAAAACAGTAAGGCGAACGAGGAACTGGGCGTTTTGAGGGCGAAAGCAAAAGATTTAAATTAATTTTTCGCCCCTGGCTCTTTAACAAGAAAAAAGTTTTCTAAAAAAGCACGGCTTAGCTGCTCTTGGGGCAATTTACTTATACACGCGCAGCTGACAAGAGGGACTAAAGAGAAATTACCTCAGTAAAAAAAAAATTCAAGATGGTCAACATGAGCACCGCCGTCACTGAAATTCGCAGTTACACTTCAGAACCCGTCAGCGCTCAAACGTTTCTAATATTAATCATCTCTTGGGCTTTTCTAGGACTCGTTTCTGCTGGGTTAAATATTCTCGTCTGCGCTATGGTATACACTGACAAAAAACTTCGCAACATGAC